TTGTTTTTTGAGACAGTGTTTCTCTTTGTAGCCCTGGCTGTCCTGGAACTCACTCTGTAGACCAGGCTGGCCTCTCAGAGATCTGCCTGCCCTTGCCTCTTGAGTGCTGGGATTAAAGGCATGTGCCACTGCACTAGGCCCTCAGATTTGTAAGTTGGTGTTTTTTTTTTTTTTTGTTTTTTTGTTTTTTCTGTGTGTGTGTGTTTAGTTTTTCGAGATAGGCTTTCTCTGTGTAATAGTCCTTAACTGTCCTGGAACTCACTCTGTAGATCACGCTGGCCTTGAACTCACCTGCCTTTGCCTCCCAAGTGATGGAATTAAGAGTATGCCATCACTGCCTGGCCAAATTTGTAAGATTTTATACTCTACTATTAAACTAATAATCTTTACTGTCATACTCATTTTCATAGTTTTTAGCCATTGATTCTTGTATACTGTATAACTTTACAAGTCTTACCAGGGTTTTATATAAATCACCTTTTCTAAGCGTGCTTAACAGCCCAGGCCAGCCATGGCTACACAGCAAGACCCTGTCTAAAACAAAAGAGGGAACGAGAATAGATTTGGATGGGCACCTCATAAGAAATGTAAATGGACACCAGGAAGACTATGAGCCACTGGGGACATGCAGGCTGTGGTAAGATTCCCACTTCACACCACTAGAGTAGCTAAAGTAAAAAGTGTACAGTACCGAGGGTTGGGTAGATGCGGAGTAACTGGAAATAACGCGTTGGTGACAAGCGTGTAAAATGGAGAACTTGAGGCAAGAGAGAGGGATCAGTGGTTATGAGCACTCACTACTCTTGCAGAGACCAGACTTCAATTCCCAGCTCATCAGGCAGCTCACAACTAACTGTAACTCCAGCTCCAAGGGTATCCAAGATCTCTGGCCTCCATGGGCACTTGTACAGAACTTGTACAAACCCACAAACAGACCACACACATACACATAATTTTTTTTTAATGGAGGCTGGGAGATGGTGGCGCAAACCTTTAATCCCAGCACTTGGGAGGCAGAGACAGCTGGATCTCTGAGTTCCAGGCCAGCCTGGTCTACAGAGTGAGTTCCAGGACAGCCAGGAATACACAGAGAAACCCTGTCTCGAAAAACCAAATAATAATAATAATAGGAAAATTTGGGAGAAGCATTTGGTAACTTCTTATAAAGTTCAAAAGTACCACTTAAAAGGTAACCTATGTGACCCAGAAATTGAATTTGTAGGCATTTACCAAGAGAAGAGAAGACCTGTGTCTGTACAAGACTTGTACATGAATCTTCATAGTAGCCCCAAACTGAAGACAATCCAAATGCCCACCATCAGCTAAATACATGGAACAGTACTTGCCAGCAAAAAGCAATGATAAGCATAGGTGTTATATTGAGCAGAAGAAGCCAGTAACAAAAGAATATTCTAATTCCACTTACATAAAATTCTGGAACATGAAAGATTGGAAAGAGAATAATATCATTGGGTCTCAGATATGCTATGGATGTTGGAGATAGACTACAGAGAGTGAAGGAGCTTCCCGGGAAAGTAGTCCATATTTTCATAAAGGTGGTGGTTGCCTGATGGATACATTCATTTAAAGTCATTCATGCTATGGGATGTTCTGTATACTGTGAATGTGTTGCTCTGATTGGTTGATAAATAAAATGCTGATTGACCAGTAGCCAGGCAGAAAGTATAGGTGGGATAAACAGACAAGAATTCTGGGGAGTGGAAGGCTGAGTCAGGAGACGCCATCCATCCATCCAGGAAGCATCATGTAACGGCACACAGGTAAAGCCACGGAACATGTGGCAACATATAGATTAACAGAAATGGGCTGAGTTTAAATGTAAGAGCTAGTCAGTGGTAGACCTGAGCTAATGGCTGAGGAGTTTTAATTAATATAAGCTTCTGAGTGATTCATTTTATAAGTGGCTGCAGGGTCTGTGGGGCTGGGCAGGACCGGAGAAAACTTCAGCTACACATTCACTGTCCAGGGTATGATAAACACCCTAACCAAAAACAACTTGGGGAGGGAAGGGTCTGTGTGGCTTGCCTGTCCCAGAGTTTGTGTTTGGGGAAGTCAGGCAAGCACCATTGAAGAAATGCTGCTTACTGCCTTTCTTTCTATGAGGTTGCTCAGCTTGCTTTCTTATGTAGTCCAGACCCTCCCACCTTCCCAGGGGTGGCACTGCCCATGGTGGGCTGGCCCTCCCACATTGGTCATTAATCAAGAAAATGCCCCACAGACATGCCAACAGGCAAGCCGAATGGAGGCAGGTCCTCAGTTGGGATTCTCTCCAGATCCAGTTGTGTCGAGCTGACAAATACAAACCAGCATAATAACCTTTGCTCTGTAAATTATACCTAGTAATGTTTTCCTGCTGGAAGCCTACAATTCCAAGGTCAGTTTGGTTCTTTTCTTCAAAGTATCTTAAGTCAATGTCTTTCACATCATATCTCTAAACCATATAGTCATATCTTTTTTTTTAAATCTATTTATTTAATGTACATTGACGTTTTGCCTGCATGCATGTCTATGTAAGGATGTGGGATCCCCTGGAACTGGAGTTACAGTTGTGAGCTGTCATGTGGGTACTGGGAATTGAACCCGGGTCCTCTGGAAAAACAGCCAGTGCTCTTAACCTCTGAGCCATCTCTCCAGCCCCATATAGTCATATCTTAATTCCTCCTCCAGAACTAATCTGTTCCTTAATATACAGAGGTAAGTCACCCTCAGAAGGGAGAGATTAATTGTGGTACAGGGAACCAGGAGGACTTCACTGTGCTGTTTAAGATGGCTCTTCCTCCACTAACACATTTGGCTCACCCTTGAGTCATCCCTGGAGCTGTGTGTGGCTTCAGGTACAAGATGCTTTGGAGAAATGTTGCAAATGATTTTTATATTATAGTAATTATTAAAAATGCTCAACTGGGGCTGAAGAGATGGCTCAGCAGTTAAGAGCACTGGCTGCTCTTGTAGAGGACCCAGGTTCAATACCCATCACCTACATGACAGCTCGCAAATGTCTGTAACTCCAGTTCCAGGTATCCAACACCCTTACACAGACACAAATGTAGACAGACGCCAATGCACATAAATAAATCATTTAAAAAATTGCTCAACCAGTCAGGGGAGGTAGATCAGTGGCTAAAAGAGCTTGCTGTTCAAGCCTGTTGTCCAAGCCTGTTGTCCTGAGTTCAATGCCCAGAACCAACACAAGGGTGGAAGGACTCCACAGAGTTGTCCTCTGACTTCTACACATGGAGCTTTGGCACGTGCACACTGCCTCACCCCCATAATAAAATAAGATATTTAAAAAACAGAAATAGTAGGTGTTGCTTAGAACTGAATTAGATGATCTGTAAAATGCCGTTCACGGTTGTTAATAGCGTCTTTAGCAGAGATTTCTCTCTAAGCCAGGAATCTGTTTAGTTTCTTTGCCATTATGTCAACTGGAGTGCTTAACCTTCTCTGCCTCAGTCACACTTACCCTTAAAGGCTGGCATCTGTAGCTGGCATGCTTTCCTCTATTCTGTGGTATTAATAAAGGCTTGAGGGAAGCTATTCACAGTGTGTATAGTCACCATTAGCATTGACTCACTGTTTCTATTTTGATTGACTTAATTCTAGTTTTTTTTTTTTTGTTTTTTTTTTTTGAGACAGAGTTTCTCCATGTAGCTCTAGCTGTCCTGGAACTCACTCTGTAGTTCAGGCTGGCCTCAAACTCACAGAGATCCACCTGCCTCTGCCTCCCGAGTGCTGGGATTAAAGGTGTGCACCATCACTGCCTGGCTCTTAATTCTAGTTTTATGGCTGTTCCTTTAGAAGTACTTCTAAAATTTTCTAATTTCTTTTTCATATTGAATGTTGTTTTTCTTTGTTATTTCTTTCTTTCTTTCTTTCTTTCTTTCTTTCTTTCTTTCTTTCTTTCTTTCAAGTCAGAGGAAAACACATTGTTCCTATTTATGAATGGAACTGGAGTTACAGACAGTAGTTGCAAGCTACCATGTGGGTACTGGGAACTGAACCCAGGTCCTTGGAAGGACAGCCCATGCTTCTAACCTCTGAGCCAGCTGTCCAGCCCCTTCCTTGTTATTTCTGAATATTTGGATTTAGTTCTTTTATGTTTGTTTGCTCTGTGGTACAGGGATCGTGATAGACCCCAGACCCAGGGTACTACCTTCTCGAGGGGGCGCCCCAAGAACCCAGACTCCGATCCAGTTGATGCAGCAGCAAGAGGTGTTTATTAATGCAGCTGTACAGTCGGGCTCTCTGCTCCAAAGAGCAAGAGTCATATCGCACTACAGTCACATAGGTACTTTTAAAGGAAAAACCCACAAAAGCCCTAAGATTACAATTCCCATACAATTTTGTTTTGATTGATTTATGTCTAGAGGCTAATTTCATAAGATCATGGTCTGGTCACAGAGTGATCACAGAGGGGGTTCAGTTACGTTAGTGTGCACATTTTTCCCGAAACCTCAAGTGGGTATCAGGGCGGGAATGGAGTTTACACAAAGGTCACAGTGGTCTTTCCTGGAACACTTGCAACTATCCCAGTCACAGTTGAGTGCATCTCTTAACAGAGATCTCTTTACATTGTTACATTGTGGCAGGGGTGGTTGAATAATGGCTGAGTCAGGTTGCCCTTGGAACTAGTTTTCTTTTTAGTTCCTTATTCTCCTGGGGCTTGAGGGGTGTAAGCCTGAAGGGTTAGGGTCTTTCAATCACACCTAAGGCCTGACACATGCTGGGCAAGTCCACTGATCCACACCCCAGCCTTACCTCCCTCTTGTAAACATACTTGTAGTCCTTAGAGATTTATGAATTTAACAGGTGCTTCAAGTATATTTATAAGTAGTAATCTGTAAGAAAGCTGGCTAGTTAAAATGTACTTCAAGCAGGTATGTTCTGGCTGTGTCTTTTGCCTGTAGAGATTTTTGAGTCTATTAATCAGTATCACCAAAGATTTCAAAGTATAAGTAAATTCCTGTCTCATACTTTAGGGAAACACCTGTCTGGAGAATGGATCGTTCTTACTGAACTTCACAGGCTGTGCGGTGTGCAATAAGCTGGATTTTATGCTGATCACAAACAGATCTCTGAAGGAGGAAGATGGAGAGGAAATAGTTACCTATGATCGTAAGTAGAGTTTGTTTTGAAATGCAAATCCATTAGCAGGTATCCGTGTGCCGCACAGGTGTTCTGAGGGCGCGTTCAGTGTTGTGTTACAGCACATAGTTACTGGCCAGTTACTGAGAGGAAAATCCAGTAGGACTTCCTTTACCCAGCATCTCCACACTGTGACTAACTTTTGCACGTAATTCAAGTATGAGATTCAGGCATGGAATTGTTTTAAAAATTATTTTTCAGGGGCTTCTTTTGTTTTCTTATGAGTCAGGTCTTACTTGCTATGTAGCTCAGGATCTTCCTGTCTGCCTCTGCAGCACTGAGATTACAGACGTGTGCCATCACACCCAGCCAGTTGTAAAGACTTTCTGTCACCTTAAATGAGATACATGCACAGACTTTATTGCTTGCTTTTGCCTGCCTTTTAAAGTCTGTGTCTCCTCTAAGGTGTATTTTGTTGGAGGGAACAGGGCATTGTGGGTAAGAGCCACAGTTCTGGGGCCGCATTCTTAGGTTAAGAATTCTTGCTCCAAACCTCCTCTGTCTGCACTTGTCTGTTTACTTCATCACAGTGTGCCTTTGTTTCCCAACTAAGTGATGATAATATCATGTCTCATTGAATTTGAGATTACATGAATAGCTAAAAAAAGTGTTTACAGAGTACCTGGCACACAGTAACCGCAGTTTATTAACTGTTGTTACATAGTTAATAAATATTGTTAGTAGATTATTTTGTTACCATCAAATTCACTTGAATGTCCACCTGGTTTTATTTATGCCTGAGTATAGCTGCACATTGACTGTCTTTCCTGAGAATAACAGCATTTGCAGAGCCAGATGGGTCCACACTTTACAAAACACAGAGCCAAACTTGCTAGCTCAGGCCTTTTATTCCAGCTACTTGGTTACAAGCACCTTTACTCAATCTTGCCAGCTTGATCTCAGGTACTCAGGAGGTTGAAAGGTCAAGGCCTGCCTGGTCTACAGAGTGAGTTCAAAGCCAGCCTAGGCAACTTAGTGAGACTTCAACCCAAAAGGGCGGTGGTGGCACACGCCTTTAATCCCAGCATTCAGGAGGCAGGTGGGCAGATCTTGGTGAGTTCAAGGCCAGCCTGGTCTACAGTATAAGGTTCCAGGGCTACACAGAGAAACCCCGTCTTGGAAAAAACAAAAACAAAACAAAACAAGTGACAAGAAGGTTGGGAATGTAGTCAGTGGTAGAGTGCCTGCTCTAGATCCGATTCCTAGTTCCGGAAAAATAAATAAATAAATAAATAAAAACACCTAAGTATCTGTTTGTAGCTTTCAGTGGAAATTAATATGTACATATTGGGCCTTTGAGTTCAGATCCTAATTAGGTAATGCTGTGATAGAGTTGGGATTTCTTAAGGTCAGTATTCGAGTGAGTTTCCTGCTGTGTTAAATGTGAGAGAGTTAAGATTCCTTTTAAGCTTTATATGCTAAGAATAGAAACTTGGTTGTTTTAAGAAACTTCCCCAGACTTGATTGTGTGTCTTTGTTTTGGCAGATCTGTGTAAGAACTGTCATCATGTAGTGGCCAGACATGAGTATACCTTCAGTATCATGGATGAATTTCAGGTAAATGTCTGGGTGGGTGTAGCAGGAATCTTAGAGAGTCTTACTAATAAAATCAAACACGGGGCCAGTTATTGGGGTGAAATGTTGGATGGTCAGAGAGACAGAACAGGCCACAGCGCACCTCACCTGGCCAACTTCTCAGCTGGTCTTGTTTCCTCAGAGTGGGAGCTTCTGTGTCCTCATCCCAATGGCTCTCAGCTGAACTGTGCTGCTAGAAGCCTGAAAGCTTAGCCAGCCAAATGCTTAACCAGGCAAATGCTTCTAGTTCCTGGTCTTCCTTATATATCTTTCCTTTCTGCCCTCACTCCCTGGGATTAAAGGCTCACTTCTTGGGATTAAAGGCATGTGTCACCATGCTTGGCTGTTTCCAATGTGGCCTTGAACTCACAGAGATCCTAGATGGATTTCTGCCTCTGGAATGCTAGGATTAAAGGCATGTGCTACCACTGCCTATCCTAAGTATCTAGTGGCTTTTCTGTTCTCTGACCCCAGATAAGTTTATTAGGGTACACAATATTTTGGGGAACACAATACCACCACAGGTGGGTATTAGTGAGGTGGGGTAGAGACTAGCAGTACCCTCGAGCATCTATACACAATTTTTGTGATGAAGTACTAGCAGTTATTAAAGGAGACTAGCCCTGTCTTGTGTAAGCTGGGACACTTGAAATGTGGGTGGATTTGTGAATCCTCACAGGAATCACTGATCAAAATGTGTGCTTTACAAATGATAGTTCAGTCCTGTCATTTTATTTAACTAACCCATTATGGGTTCTTCCTTTAAAAAAAGATTTAAAATATTTAGTTGTTTTAATGTGTGTGCATGCATGTGCATGTGCACACCATGTGAATACTCGGTGGTGTGTGAGTGCGTACACACCATGTGAATACTCGGTGCCCACAAAGACCAGAAGAGGGCTCTAGATACCCTAGAACTGGAGTGACAGATGGTTGTGAGCCACCTTTCAGGTGCTGGGAACTGAACCTGGGTCTTTTGCAGGAATGCCCTTGACTGCTGAGCCATCTCTAGTCTGCCATTAGGGGTTTTTATGAAGTTATTGCAGTGGTGCCTTTTCTCCACCTGCTGTGGGAATTGCCACAGTTGGCTTAATTTAAGTGTGGGCTGCTGGGTGGTAGTGGCAGTGGTGGCACACACCTTTGATCCCAGCACTCAGGAGGCAGAGGCAGGTGGATCTCTGAGTTCGAGGCCAGTCTGGTCTACAGAGTGAGTTCTAGGTGTTATCATATCTACTTGGCAGGTATGAAAATCTGATAAAGAGGTTGTCTTTGTTTGCCCAGTTGGCATGTGGATTTGAGCAACTGTTTCTTCTCAAGTATAGTAAGCCATATATATATATATGTGTGTGTATGTGTGTGTGTGTGTATGTATATATATACATATATATAATTTATTTGACTTTATTTTTATGTGCATTGGTGTGAGGGTGTCACTCCCTGGAACTGAATTACAGACAGGTGTGAGCTGCCGTGTGGGTGCTGGGAATTGAACCTGGGTCCTCTGGGAGGGGAGCCAGTGCTCTTAACCACTGAGCCATCTCTCCACCCCCTCCCCCACCCTTTTTTTTTTATAATTTGTTAAGCTAAATTGAAAGATAGCTCTATGAAGGTTGGGGAGAAAAGCAGAATTAGTCGAGAAAAGGATTTGTTATGTTAGTCTTCTGCAGTCAGGAGAGCACAGAAGAGCTCTGGCCTCTGTGTAGGCCCAAGGTTGCTGAAGAACTGCAGGTCTGCAGTCAGGAAGAACCCGACAGCAGCAGGACCTAGCTCTGGACAAAACGGGACCCAGGGCTCTTCCTCACATGCTTGTTTTCAAGCTTTTAGACTGACTTTGCATGAACTTCATATTTATCCACAAGATAAGAGTTTATCAGGTTAGAACTCTAAGGGAATTGTTTCTAGTCATTCAAATTTAGATGGTATTTACTTAGGAAAATAAAAGTTAATCAGCCACAGCAGAACCATAAAATAGCATAATACCTTCCACTCATATTTTTAGATTTTTACTTATTTTAAATTTTTTGAGGTTTTATTTTATTTTTATGTGTATGGGTGTTTGCCCTCATGTATGTCTGTGCACCATGTGCATGCAGTGCCCACAGAGGCCAGAAGAAGGTGTCATATCCCCCTAGAACTGGAGTTAGAGTTGTAAGCTGCCACATGGGAATTGATCAGGGTCCTCTGGAAAAGCAGCCAGTGCGCTTAATCACTGCGCCATCTCTCCAGCCCCTAAATTTTACTTATTTTTATTATGTGTATGAGTGTTTTGCCTGAATGTATGTATGTATTTTTATGTATGTATGTATATATGTGTACCACATCTGTACCTGGTACCCATGGAGGCCGGAAGAGAGCACTAAATCTCCTGGGATTGAAGTCACACATAGCTATGAGCTGGCATGTGGGTGTTGGAAACTGAACCCAGGTCTTCTGCAAGAGCAGTAGGAAGAGTGAGTGCCCTTAGCAATCTCTAGTCCCTCATTCATATTTTTAAATGGAAGTAGGAACATACATAGTCACATGTGTCAGGGTCTGATCTGAAATACTCTGGTTAATCTAAACATCTTTACCATAACTCTTTTTTTGGGGGGGGGGGGGGGGCGGGGTGATAGATTTTTCTAGAGTGGCTATGTCAGCATCTACAGCCAGTTTTTTTTAATTAATTTTTTTAAATTACTCATGATATTAATTATATTTGTTTGACTAAAACTCTCTAAGATCCAAAATTATGCCTTAAAATATTTGTATGATATGTGTAACTTACAGCAAAACCAAGGTCTCGGGGAATAATAGTGGCCAAATGAGAGTGAGCTTGAAAACCCCTAGCTCTGTCGTTCTGAGAGGAAGCGAGTGTTTACAGCTCTCTTGCATAAGTGCAGGTGAGGTCTTTGAAAGCCCTGAGCAGATACTAAGATGGCCCTTTATGTCCTGAGAGAGCTGTTGTACAGCGCTTCCCTGAGACATGACCGAGTGTAGCCACCTTCAAAGAGCCCCCAATTACTTCGAGTAGAAACGAGAAGAGAAAAGGAAGATGGCTTGTAGTCACAATGCCTAGATAATTTCAGTCCTCCTGAAAACAAAACCCCTTAGTCTGGTGTTGCTAAAGTTTTCCTGCCTGGCTCACAGTCAGGACAAATCTCTGTCACCCGCCAGTCCCACAGCAGCTCAGACCTGACCAAGTAAACACAGAGACTTATATTGCTTACAAACTGTATGGCCGTGGCAGGCTTCTTGCTAACTGTTCTTACAGCTTAAATTAATCCATTTCCATTAATCTATACCTTGCCACATGGCTCGTGGCTTACCGGCATCTTCACATGCTGTTTGTCATCATGGCGGCTGGCAGTGTCTCTCTGACTCAGCCTTCCACTTCCCAGCTTTATTCTCCTCCTTGTCCCGCCTATACTTCCTGCCTAGCCAATGGCCAATCAGTGTTTTATTTATTGACAAATCAGCAACACATTTGACATACAGAACATCCCACAGCAGTCTGGGCTCTACCTCCAGTCTACTTCACCAACATCTGCTCTCGCTCAACCCACATCCTACGCTCAGCCATCAGATGGGTTTTAATCATTCTTTTATACTTCCTCGGTGGCCGTTCACAGCCGTCACTGCTGCAGCACAGTGCTCAGGCTCCTTACCCCAGGCTGTAGCTGGCCCCAGCTCCTCTCTCATTTCCCTCGGCTCTTCCATACATACCCCATGTGAAGTATTGTTTCAACATTACCCTCCCCTCCTTGCTCCCATTGGAGGAGGATTTTCCTTCTTCCTCTTCAATGCTACTCTACCTCATTTCCTGAGGGATCACATGGTACTGTCTCCAGAATCTTTTCTAGGTTGAAAATTTTTATATTAAGGCTATCCACATGCCCTCTTTTGGCCTTTGTGGGCACTGCCCTTACATATGTTAATCTGCAACACACACACAAATATACATAATTTAAAAATAAGTTTAATGATGGTAGCATGTGATAAGTCCCCCGACTTGGCCAGGTTGGTGAAAGGTGTCCTGATATCTCAAGGAGCTGGGTCCCTAGCATCTCAGCTTAGAATCTGGGTGTACTTTCCCACAGAAGCACTGTAATGTGTGGTTAGATCCCACAGCCTTTGTACAATACAAATTTAAAAGACTGTGCATTTTCCTGGGCATCTAACTGCCGCATATATAACACACTCCCGTGGGGAACTACTTGGGAATTCCAAATCATTGACTTACAATGAAATTTGAAGTCCTGGCAGCCCGTAAATCAGAGGTTACCAGTGTAACCAGTCTCACTGGAATAATCTTACTGGATTATATCGTGCATTGTATCAGGTATTTTTCCAAGTCAAGGGTGTTAATTTTTTTGTTTTCCCCAGAGCTGAGGACCAAACCCAGGGCCTTGGGCTTGCTAGGCAAGCGCTCTACCACTGAGCTAAATCCCCAACCCCGGGTGTTAATTTTGTAAAGGTCAGGGTGCATTCTTTCCTTTGTTCCTGACTGACCATTACACACAGCATGTTGCAGAACATGGAAACATTCACTAGAGACTTGACGGCGGTTAGGTTAGTTGAAAATCCAGCTCTCTGTCTTTTTATCTATCTATATATGTCTTTTAATTAATATTTTTATTTTGTTGTTGTTTAGTGTTTTGTTTTGTTTGGGGCCGTACTGGGGTTTAAACCCTAGTCCTCATGCTTGCAGAGAGAGCACGCCACCAGCTGAGCCGTATTCTCACCAAAATCAGCCATGTGTGTAGCTTCACGTATTGTGCCTCCCTCCTCCCTCCCTCCGTGAGTGCGTGCGTGTGTGTGTGTGTGTGTGTGTGTGTGTGTGTGTGTGTGTGTGTGTACAGGGTCTTGCCATATAGCCCAGGCTGACCTCAGCCTTGTGACCCTCCTGCCTCAGTTTCCCAAATGTGGGATTAGGGGATTAGAAGTGTTCTCCATCACACTCTGTTCCTTTTGTCTTCATTTCCAGTAAGAGATTGCCTTCCCAATGGTGATGTCTGGTGGGTTCACAACAGTAGATACCTTGTAGATTTATATTATATTTTGTGCTCCTGAGTAGTATCTATTCTCTAAGCTTTAGCCTGTATGGATTTCTACTGGGTGTGTAGAGGAGACTTTAAAATCACAAGTGCAGAGAGGTAGCTCGATGGAAGGAGGCCTGCCTAGTATGCACAAAGCCTGGCTTTAACCTCCAACACTGAAAATCAGTCAGTTAGCCAACTGAGGAATTCAAGAGCGCTCGGTCTTTAAACGCCGGCTGTTTGCTGTCTGTTGGACTTGCCGGTTGCAATGGAAAGGCACTTGTCTTGACACTTAGGGACTTTGTGCCCTTGTCACTGTTTGGCTCCGCAGTCCTCTCTAGTGACTGTCCAGACCGAGAAACACGATTGGGCTGATCCATTTCCAGACAGCAACATCTGGTGTGGAGGCACTAGTAGATTCAACATAGATACTTGTTTTCCTAAACAAAACAAAAATATTTTAAATTAAAAGTTGAAAGGAAATGACTCCGTGACAGCTGTAAGAACAGGACTTTGCCCTAAGGAATCTTGCTTAAAATAAAATCCCTTCTGTTACCAGTCTAGACATTTGTTAAACACAAGACACATAAAACTTAATAAAAACTTAGATACTTAAATAGCTGAAATCTTGGGCAATTAACTGTTTAAATGTGAGCTGTGGCATGCTAGTGAATTTAATAGACTTTTTTATTTCCTAGGGCTGATAAAGATAGCTTTTTCAGCTTGAGAATGTTGTCTCTTTTTTCCCCTTCCTGTTGCATAAATATCCTGGAAAGGTATGGCCCTAAAAATAAGAATTTGTCTTAGAAATACACATCCAATCTGCTTTGTTATTTATTTTATTTATTCTTTTTTTTAAAGATGTTCATTTGAGCCAATTGGTGGTGGTGCACACCTTTAATCCCAGCACTTGGGAAACAGAGACAGATTTCTGTGAGTTCAAGGCCTGCCTGGTGTACAGAACAAGTTCCAGGGCTGTCAGGGCTACACAGAAAAACAAAACAAACAAAAGAAGAAGTTCATTTATTCAATTACTATTTGTGTATGTGTGTGATGTGCATGTTTGCCATGAATCATGTGTAGAGTTCAGAGGTCAACACTTGGGAGTCCATTCTTCCATTGTGGGATCAAGGTCACCAAGCTCAGGTCACCAAGCTCAAGCAGCAAACGCCCTGTACCTGCTGAGCTGTCCCACTGGCCCTTATTCTTTGTGTGTGTGTGTGACAAGGTCTCATGGAGTCCAGGCTGGCTTTGAACTCCTGATCCTCCTGCCTCCATCTTCAGAGTACTGGGATGCAGTTGTGTGCCACCATGCCCAGTTTGTGCAGTGCCGGAGCCTGAAGCCAGGGCTTTGTGCATGGTGGGTTAGTACTTTTATCAGCTGAGCTACATGCAGCCCCAGCCCAGGTGTCTTCATCAGTTTAAATAGAAGCACTAAGCAAAATATGTGGCTTTCTTAGTCCAAGAGATGGCAATGTACCTTCAAAATGCTGTTCTTATGTACGTAAACAAAAGGTTCCAGGAGTGTGCAGAATAAAGGTAAAACCCTGCTAATAGGTGTTGAAAAGCTAATCTAATGTGCAGCAAGATTATCAGTGACAATTTGTGGGAAAGCTTTGTTGAGCAATCGTGTGTAGAGCATCTTTCTCCCTGCCCCTTGAGGTGATTTTGCACTTTGTCTTGTTCTAGGAGTACACCATGCTGTGTCTGTTGTGTGGCAAAGCTGAAGATACTATCAGTATTCTCCCTGACGACCCCCGACAAATGACTCTGTTGTTCTAAGCTTCCTGCGGGTCTGTTCTCACTGTGCTGGCTTCGTTTACAATATAGCAGGCCTAATGGTTTGTTTAATAATGAAAGTTCTTTATGGTTTTTTTTTCTGCTTAGATTTACCTACTTGGAAGAAAAAGTAATTTGGGGAATTGTTGTTTCCTAGATTTGATCTCCTCTGCGAAGGTCCCTGTACACATCAGGGCAGCCAGAGTGAAATGTCTTTGCTAGTGGTTATTTGGCTAGAAAACCACTCGAACCTATGCACGTTCTGCACTCAGAGGTTGGTTTCCTGTCCAAGGAATCCAGGACTCCTTGCAAAGTAAATGATGAAGCAGGGCAGGAATTCTACATGGTGAACTTAGAGTATTTTATGCTACAAAAATAAATAAATAAACAAACAAACAGCAACAACATAAACCCACAAAAAACAAACCACAGTGATTAAGGGATGGTCAGACAAGAACTCCCAGTGAACACAGCAGTAGTAATTTGAAAATAAGTGACTTGATATTGGATTATAGCCCAGAATGTGTACTCAATATCCATGGGTCCATGGTGATAGCAATGATTGGATGGATGGATGGATAAGTAAACAAGGGAGGAAGAGAGAAAGGGAGGAAGGGGCGTGGATTTCTGCTGGTCCTACTTCCTCAGTGTGGGCTGTGTGCCTTCCTTCCGGAGTAGCATGGAGAGGGGAAAGAGGGACTTTAAGGAAGAGGGCCCTTACAAACCCTGGCTTAGCCAGGCGATCCAGGTTAATACTGCCAACGGTACGCCATCTTGATGTCAGACACCCTTGATATGATGCAGTGTGAAGATCTCTGAGTTTTTCTTCGCAGAGAGCCATAATCTTTGTAATCATAATCTCCACCAAGTTCATTTCTACAGACTGATAGTATCTTTCAAAGCAACTAAGGTCTTCAAAAAAAAAAAAAATCTGAGAAACTAGGAGGCTAAGGAGGAATGGTAACCGAATGTAATGGGACCTAAATGGAAGCCTATCCCAGAGGAAGGACGCATGCGAGAAACCAGAGACATCGGAGTAAAGGATGTAACGTAAGTTTATAGGATCTCATTTACTCCAAAGGGATCGTAGAATGTGTTGTGTGCATAATTGAAAGAGCACTGGCTTGGTGGTCATAGCCCTGGCATCTAGGCCACATTGTCCTTTGGAAGCAGATAGCCACTAAACAGAGCCGTACTCAGACTTCAGTATCCTGTTTCTGTAAAGTAGGCTAACAGAATGTGATAGTGTACTCCTCTTGCAGTATTAGTGAGTGTAAAATACTTCAGAAAGCCTATAAAGTTCTAGATACAATGATGTGCCTTCAGTTCTTAGTCTAACACCCAAACTTAAAGGGAACAGGCATCAGAAACGAAATTGTTGGGGCTGGAAAGATGGCTCATCGGTTAAGAGTACTGGCTACTCTGCTAAAGGACCTGGGTTCAATTCCCAGCACCTACATGACAGTTCACAGCTGTCTATAACTCAAGTTCCAGGGGATCTGGCACCCTCACACAGACATACATGCACGCAAAACCCCAATGTACTGAAATAAAAATAAATCTTTTTTGTTTGTTTTTTGTTTTTCGAGACAGTTTCTCTGTGTAGCTTTGCACCTTTCCTAAATCTCGCTCTGTAGCCCAGACTGGCCTCAAACTCACAGAGATCCTCCTGACTCTGCCTCCTGAGTGCTGGGATTAAAGGTGTGCGCCACCACAACCCAGCTATAAATAAATCATTTTAAAAAATTGTTTCCTCATTGTATCTAAGGGTTCCCCTCTAAGATACACAAAAATTGAGCAATTGTACAGTGCTATACCAGGGAACCCTTTTTATTCTGTAGCAGTAGTAATAGTAGTGGCACTTGAGTACTGCTCAGTGCCACAGCCTTGAACACACTTACACTGCCATGAGTGTGGGACCCTTGCAGCCACTGAACACACTCACTTACACTTCATGAGTGTGGGGCCCTTGCAGCCACTGAACACACTCACTTACACTGCCATGAGTGTGGGACCCTTGCAGCCACTGAACACACTCACTTACACTTCATGAGTGTGGGGCCCTTGCAGCCACTGAACACACTCACACTGTCATGAGTGTGGGGCCCTTGCAGCCACTGAACACACTCACTTACACTGCCATGAGTGTAGGACCCTTACAGCCACTGAACACACTCACTTACACTTCATGAGTGTGGGGCCCTTGCAGCCACTGAACACACTTACACTTCATGAGTGTGGGGCCCTTGCAGCCACTGAACACACTCACTTACACTTCATGAGTGTGGGGCCCTTGCAGCCACTGAACACACTTACTTACACTTCATGAGTGTGGGGCCCTTGTAATCCACTTTCAGAGCCAGGAAGAACCTGCATGAAGTCAGCAGCTCAGAGTCACGTGCTACCGTGTGACCTCCTCCCAGCTCCCAGCGGGAGTGCCGGTGAACATGAGGTATAAAGCTTTGCCAGGTGAGGAAGAGGTCGGTTCAGGGTCGGTGACGGCCCTCCACAGAACCTTGGCATGTCAGACAAAGATTTATTATTCAGAAAGTTCAGTCAGCTGCCCCAGAAGGGTCAGTTGGTTTATTCCTGGAAAATACTTTCCATTTTGCTCCAGATCTATATCTGCCCTGCTGAGGAAATGGTTTCATCAAATGAGTCCAAAGGCAGAGAACTGCCTCATTTCTGTAAATAGCAGCAGGGAGCCATTGCAGCCTTGAGCGGCCCCTTTTGGAGTCCGCTGATAGTCTAGCTTAGTCATTTGAAGCTGAAGAGTATGATCCTGTATGCCCTGAAGACACCTCATCTACCACGGAGTATTGTAAAATTATCCACCTGTTTCGGATACAGCTTAGAAAATTTCAAAACACAAGATCCAGTCTGTTTATTTCATTGTTACTCAGCCAGCTGAGTGTTGTGCCTTGTGACTCTGTCGTCTCAAGGAATTCTTCTGGGGGTCTAACAGAATAAAAATGTCTTAAATCTAGTTCCGCTGGTTTCTCATTTTTCTGTTCAAATCAAGGAAAGGCAGGTATTCATTAGTCTCTACTACTGAAAGGCAGTCACTGTGGGGATTAGAACCTCAGCTGTCCTGGCATCTTTCTCTTTACTCACCTTAGATGACCAATCAGGAATCTACCTGACTGGCTTTTGATTTTGATGTGTTTTGTTGATAGTTAGTTATATTCCTTTTATGTTTTTACTTACTTTTTGAAAATTTCATACACTATATTGACATTCTTTCCCCTCCCCCAACTCCCAGATCCTCCCTCACCTCCTTACCCACCCAACTTCCTTGTCTTTCTCTTAAAACAACAACTACAGAGTAACCATGGCGACTGCTTGTGTTGGCCTGCCCTGGAGTGTGGTTAATGTACCCAGTGACGTGCCATTGGAGACAAGTTATTTCCCTTCCCCAGCACCTGTCAGTTGCAAATAGCTTCTTGGCTAGGGGTAGAACTTGTGCCCACTTCCTCTCCTTTGTGCAAGAATTCTGTCTGATTTGAGCTGTGTGGTTTGTTTGTATGTTTGGGGACAGGATCTTACTATGTAGCCCTGGCTGGCCTAGGCTAACTATGTAATTCTGGCATGCTTCACAGTCACAGACATCCTCCAGCCTTTGCCTCCCTCCTAGTGCTGATATTAAAGGTGTGCACCACCATGTCTGGCAGCTTTTTGAAAAAATATATTTATTTTTATGTTTCTGTGTGTGTATATTTGCCTCATGTATGTGGGTGCCCAAGGATATCAAAATAACATGGCAGATCTCATGGAGCTAGAGTTGTAGCCATTTGTGGCCTTCCTGATGGATGTGGGTGCTGGGAACCAAACTTGAGTCCTCTGGAAGAGCAGCAAGTACTCTTGGGCAGTCTCCCAGCCTCCATAATTGACCTTTAAAAAATTTATATAATTAAGCTGGACGGGGGGTGGCACAGGCCTTTAATCCCAGAACTCGGGAGGCAGATAGAGGCAGATCTCTGAGTTCGAGGCCAGCCTGGTCTACAGAGCAAATTTCAGGATAGCCAGTTCCAGGACAGCCAGGACTACACACAGAGAAACCCTGTCTCAAAAAAACAACAACAAAACAATTATATAATTATAAAAATTTTTAATTAAAATCTAATTACATCATTCCCTCTTTGCCCCTCACATTTGCCTTTTTTTCCTTCGTTGTTACATATGTATATATATTTTTTATCATATTCCTAAATGTAGAAATACAACCTGCTCTGTATGTTATTTCAGGGCTGACCACTTGGTACTGAATAACCAGTTGGGGCTCTCTGGGGAAGATGATTTCTCCCATCTCAGCATTTCTTAGTCGCCTGTAGTTCTTTGTCTGTGGTTGAGGCCTCTCCCCCTCTGTGTTAGCTTGTCTGTTGGTAGTGTCCTTGTTCTGGTCTAGTTTAGGCAGACATGTTGATGAGAGTTCATGGATCTATCCATATTTCTGGGAGACACAATGTCAGCAAACTTCCTGTTCCTCTGGCTTTTACAATTTTTTTTTTTTTCAGAATCTTACCCTGTTTGGCCAGGAACTCACTATATTGAAAGCTAAGCTTTCAATTCTGCTGTTTACTAGCCCTTTATCCTTGATAGACAGACAGACAGAGAGTGGGTGGAGAGAGTGTATGTACATTATATATGGGGGTGGGGGATTTATTAGAACGGCTTACAGGCTGTGGTCCAGCTACTCCAGCAATGACTGTCTACCAACAGAAGGTCCAGAATTCCAGTAGTTGTTCAGTCCACAAGGCTGGATGTCTCAGCTGGTCTTTAGTATATGCCAGAGTCCCCAAGAGGTAGGCTCTAATGTCAGTGAAGGAGTGGACTTGCTAGAGAGGGCAAGCTTCCCTCTTTCATTTCCTTTATACAGGCTATGAGCAGAAGGTATGTCCCAGATTAAAAGTGGATCCTCCCCCTTCAAAGATCTGGATTGCAAGTGTGTCTTCCCACTTCAAATGATTTAATTTAAGAAATAAAAATCCCTCACAGATGTGCCCAGCCATTTGAGTTTTAGTTAATTCCAGATGTTGTCAAGTTGACAACCAAGAATAGGCATCACAAGTCCATCCTTGTCAACTTGACACACAATCATATCTCCTTATGTCATGCTTAATTTCCAAATTAAAACAATAACCAGGTCACAATAATGCTTAAACACTGATGTAACTATCCCAAATATAATTGCAAGAGTGTTATATATTTAACCAGGTTATAATTATGCCTAACATGATATAACTTCCCCATACAACCAAAAATGAATTATAAATTTAGAATTGGTGGCAGTGTTCCTTGAAGGACATTCTGTTATCTTTTATCTCAAACATGATAGCCACTGATAACTCTTGTTACATTATATGATAAATAAATTGAGTAAAGAAAACACAAATATCTATATAAACGAATTCTTAACAAAATATGACAAATACTCATGTCAATTAAAATCCTCATTTCTGCAACTGGTCAAATGGCTGATATTTATAACTACCTTCCTCTACTACCCATTTGTGGTGGTTTGACTATAATTGCCCCCCCCCTCATAACTCAGGAGTGGCACTATTAGGAGGTGGGACCTTGTTGGAGGAAGTATGTCACTGTGGGGGCGGGCTTTGAGGATTCCTATGGTCAAGATACTGCCCAGTGTCTTGAGTCCACTTCTTCTGCCTTCTGATCAAGATTTAGCCAACACCATGTCTGCCTGCATGCTGCCGTGCTCTCTTAGAGGACTGAACCTCTGAAACTGTAAGCGAGCCACCTCAATTAAATGTTTTCCTTCAGAAGAGTTGCTGTGGTTATGGGTGTCTCTTCACAGCAATAGAAACCCTAAGACACCATTCTGTATTTCTTCCACCTCAGCAGGTCTTGGATTTTTCTGGAGTGACCTGAACCTTCATTCCTGAAGGGTCTGTGCCCTTTGTCATCCTGCCTGCCTGCCTGGATTAGGTTGTTAGAGTTTCCCGTTCACTTTAACCACAGGACATGGTAGCACCAACAGACATCCTAAAGCTGGGACCCTTTAACACAGTTCCTCATGCTGTGGTGACCCCCAGCCATAAAATGAATTCATTGCTTCTTTATAACTGTAATTTTGCTACTGTTATTAGTTGTAATGTAAATATCTGATATGTAGGATATCTGATATGTGACCCCAAAGGAATTGCAACCCACAGGTTGAGAGCCACTGCCCTGAAGGAGCTGCACTCCAGACATAATCTTTCTTACCTCCATTGTAGAGAAGCAATCCACTTTCCGCCTTGGTAATCTGGATCAGTCACACCCCTCCTTCTTTAGCCTGTTGATTAAGGGTATCGGAAGCCCCGAGTGGCTGGGGGAAGTCCGAGCTTACAGCTCAATGGAAGGTTTGTTGTGGCTCCTGCCAGGAGCACTCCCCACTCTGGAACCAAAACTTCTAGTCCAGTAGAACTTGAGGTTGTTGGAACAGGAAGCAAAAATTTCCCTAGTGAGTCACCAGGGGCGATAGTGAGTGGACCTGTTCCCCTTTCCACCTTTGATTCCTGGACCTGTGGATCCTGGCTATGGGAGCAACTGTACTGCACATTGGACATATATTGGATTCAAAACATATACCACCTTCTGGAGGACCCCCTGGCCCAGCCCTCCAGGCTGCTGCCATGTAATTGGCAATGTAACTGTGTCTTCAAAAGGCCTTTGGGTTTCTGTAGATGAACAGAACTTACAGAATTAATGTATATATAGAGAGAGAAAGATTTATTAGAATGACTTATAGGTTGTGGTGTGGCTAGTCCATCCAGCTATCTTCTCTCTATAGAGAGAGAATTCCTTTGGAGTCCCTGTGAATAGTGCAGTATGGTCGACTTGATACTAGTATCTTGGATTATGGTGGTTAATGGTGTTTATCAGAAAGTTCTAGAATTTGGCTCATATTTGTTAGCCTAAGATATAGCTGTGGAACATAGTTATAAAGATTTTAAGTCATAACCACCCATTTCAGTCTGTATGTCTTGGTCCCCTCAAGTCACTCCCAAGCTCCTTCCTCAGTGGCGAGCCCTCAGAAGCGATCCCGGCATTCCTCTAAACTGAGCAGCATTGTCTCAGCGCTTCTGCCAGAGCTTATTCATGAGACTTCTTCCTACTCCTGAGTGTCCTCGGGAAAATTTGATTAAAAGACTTTGTTTATTCAGGAAAGTGGGTGATTCCATTAAATCTTTATGTTATCTGCTGATGGCCCGAAGCTGCCGCTTCTCAGGACAAAGTGTGGGCAAGTGAAGTAGATGAATGAAGGAAAGCAACCCTTACTTTGATTTTAACAACACCATGGAAGGTCATCCTGCCTCTCTGTCCCCTTCTGTGAAAAACTAGTGAGATCCCGTCTGAAGCAAACAGCATTACCCTGCCTAAGTGAAGAGCCCACTTCTACCATTTTTGCCCTCCTGACTCTGTGTAAAATTATTTATACTGAAATTCTCATTCTTCTGAAATCCCTAAGTTATTCATTTAGTTTGAACCACCTGGAAAAGATGTGACCCAGTGTGCCGTCATATCACACCCTAAATTGCCAGTGGCATAATGCCAACCTCTAGGCTAGCCAGACATCCAGAATGGCTGTCTGTTAACAGACACGATAGCGGGCACCATCGTGATGAAAAGAAAAACCCACAGTAGCACCGTGCACAAATGCCTTATCCCACTTCATCAGGGAAAGAAATTGTCTCCGTCATACGACTCTAAAATTAGCACGACCCTTCTGCAAAAGAATTTATACCCCAACTGCTGGCTTTAAGATAGGCAATCCAAAGGGCTGAATTTTCAAGAGTCAAGCTGAGGGCAACCTTAATTTAACAGGAGGTCTCTCAGATGGATTCCTGGGGATTCCGACTGCAGTACTCAGGTTACCCCTTTGACATAAAGCACTGTCAATGACAGCTTGAGCTGAAGGTCAGACAGGCATCATTTACCTCAGCCCCACACTTGCTTTTCAAATGATGCAAGAGCTTGGGAAATGATTATGAGGAGCAGATTAAAGGGAAAACATCAGCAGTATTGGCATTCTTTAGCAGGGTGTCTGGTTTGGAGAACCGTTCCTTGAGGGCTTCAAGACAGAGATGTTCCATCTAGTGGCCAAAGGGAAAAATGTAACAGGAAGGACTCCTCCTCAGAGCATGACAGACCCTGGCTCTGGTGGTGTTGGTCCTTCTTGAATGTGCTTGCACTGAATGAGGAACCTGGGCATCCCGACAAAGCCATTTGGCACACCTGTCCTCACAGTGAGTACCAGTCATGTGGGCAGATTATAAACTCAATCTCTATAGCAGTGGTTCTCAACCTTCCTAATGCTGGGACCCGTTAGTACAGTTCCTCATGTTGTGGTGACCCCCCCAACCATGAAATTATTTTCAGTGCTACTTTAAAACTGTAATTTTGCTACTGTTGTGAATCTTAGTGTGAATATCTGATATGCAACCCCTGTGAAAGGGTCATTTGACCCCCCCAGGGGTCACAACCCACAGGTTGAGAACCAGTGCTCTAAAGTATATGTGTGTGTGTGTGTGTGTGTGTGTGTGTGTGTGTGTGTGTGTGTGTGTGTGTGTCTGTGTGTTTCCATACTTATGGAGGACGTAAATGCAGCCATGGTGCCTAGACTTGTGAGGGTGTGAGCTTGAGAAGAACAAAGGTAGAAGGTGAACTTCTGTGTTTACAAGCCTGAAGATCTGATCTCAATCCCTGGAACCCACATGGTGGAGGGAGACTGCAAGATGTCCTCTGTCCTCTGCATGCCGCAGTCCATACGTATATACATGCATGTGCACACGTATGCACACACACACACAATGTAATTTCAGAATTTTAAATGTAACAAAGTAATCAAGAAGAGGATAACTTGATATGCAACCCCTGTGAAATGGTCATTTGATCCTTAGAGGTCACAGCTCCCAGGTTGAGAACCAGTGCTCCAAAGGTGTGTGTGTGTGTGTGTGTGTGTGTGTGTGTGTCTGTCCATACTCAATGGAGGAAGTAAATGCAATCACGCCTGTGTTCCTGGTAACCACTTTCTACACCCTTGTTGTCAGTTAATGTTTAATTGTTCTAGGACCCACAATGATGTGATGCCTTCTTGGTTGTAGGCTAACAGCCAGTACGCTCAGCCAAAGGGCCTGCTGTCTTTTTTTCTCTTTACTCCACTTTACTACTTCCTCCTTTTGCTGTAAGAGCCATGAAATGATCAATTCACATTTATTGCAGCTCCAACTGTCACCATGCACCTTGACTGCAACCCAGTCCAGACAGTAATCGGGGCACCCCGTTGATCAGAGCTGCACTCTACCAAACCTTAGTGTTTGCAGCCCCGCCGCCCCACCACAGTTCCTACACCCCTCCACACCTCCCAAGAAAGAAAACACGGGGCCAGCAAGATGGCTCAGTAAGTGAGGCAGGCCCAGGGACCCGAGTTCCATCCCTGGCAGCCAAGGTGGAAGGAGAGAAGCAACTCCCCAAAGTTGTCCCCTGACCCCCACACGTGTCCACGCACACAGAACAAAATAAGATACTTGGAGTTTTTAGAAAGGAAGATACAAAGACCCACTCATTTCTATACCTGCCCTTTATTGGACTCCAAAGCAGGCTGGCTCTGGGCGTTCACAACTTCTCAGACATCTCCCACAAGGGTTTAGGAAGGTGCCATCATTCTGTGAAGGCCCAGAGCCTACCCCAGACTTAGAGCCCCAAGTGGACTCAAGAGTGTTGAGGGACCTACAAGAAACAGGCAGGCGGGGGGGGCCAGGTGCTCCAGTGAGGGGGTGCTTCAGTCCCCCAGTGTCTCCTGGGGTACGCTGAGCCCTGAGGAATACCTGGGGACTGGAACAGTGGGAGATACCTAGGCCGAGAGCTCACGTCTAGATAGCAACTTTGAGGAGACGTTTGATGTCAGGCTCAATGTTGATGGTTTGGAAGGTGCGGCTGTAGCGGCGGAATGGCTCCCCTTCTGGCCCTATGAGGAACTTCTCAAAGTTCCAGGCCACATCTGAGCGGCGCACGGGACTCCACATGATGAGCTTGGGATCGGTCATGAGGGAGAACGGGTCATCATAAGGGTAGGGTAGCTTGTCTTTCAGGTAGGCAAAGACGGGATGCTCATTCTGCCCATTGACATCACACTTCTGGGTAAGACTGAAGGTGGGCTGGTACCCACCCCCAGGGCGGACATACTTGAGGCTGTTCAGGATCTCCTCGTTCTGACAGTTCTCCTGGAGGAGAAGACAAAGCAGGAGAAAATGAAGGGGAAACCAAGGATTCTCCGGTGCAAACCTTTCCTTCTCCAACCCTTCCTCCCTGGGATCGCTCTTTCCTTCGTGTGTGCAAGCATGTGTTGCATGTGTGTGTGTTTCTTCTCCATCTGCTTTGCCTTGCTCTCTCCCAGCCATCGCGTTGTTGGTTTTTTATCTTTTACATCTATTTTATAGTGTGTGTGTGTGTGTGTGTGTGTGTGTGTGTGTGTGTGTGTGTGTGTTTCCGTGCGCACGTGTGTACACGTTGTGAGTGCCATGTTGCACATGCAGAGGTCAGAGAACAATCTACAGAATCCGCTTCTCTCCTTCCACCATGTGGGTTCTGAGGATTCAGGCTTGCTGGCAAGTGCCTTTACCCATTGAGCCCTCTCACCAGCCATGGCCTTTGGTGGTTTGCTAGGCTACATCCAACACTTCAGAAGCCAGGGAGTGCCACATAATTTAAGGAGAGAACCCACTCTCACAAATTGTCCTCTAACCTCTACATGTGCACTATGGCATGTGCACACCCCTGCACACGCATTAAAATAATAAAGAAAGAAATGTGATGAAAGATTTAGCACTTTGGAATTGCTTCTGAACCTAATCCACCCTGAGCAATTAACAGTGTGTTTGTTGGCCCTTCAGGGAACCTTGAGTTCAGGGAAAAGAAGGAAAAGAGACTCAACCTATGCACAGCACCTGCCCTTCTTCCTGTGTACCTACAAATGCGCGCGCGCACACACACACACACACACACACACATGCAGGCGTGCACTCATGCATGCATACACATGAACACTTCCTACCACCATTTCCCCCTTCTTCTGCCCTGGTTCTGCTCCCTTCTGGTTCTGTGTGTATTGAGTGCATCCTTAGCCTGTGCCCTATGCACCTCATGAGTCAAGCGGGAAATAAGACCCAGGCAGGTGACCTTTATAACTTCCAGCTTTCATGCTTCCTTGTCCTAGAACTAAAATGCAAATGGGGGACACTTTGAAGACAGACTCCATCCAAGGGAGTCTTCATTTTCCAGCTCCACTAAGGCAGAGCAAGTCAGTGACAGTGGTGGACACACTCTAAACGGAACCACTTAGTGACCAGCAGGATAGGTGACTGCCCTAGAAATGGGCTTGGGCCGGTTGTTAAGCAATTCAAGACTTAAGGACAAGGACTGTGGGTACATAGCCACTCCTTTCATTTCTAAACTGCCATCCAAAGGTCTCCTGAACCTCGTCTTCATGTACCGTACTCAGCTACAAATGCTTTAGCTCAGAACCTGTTCCCTGTTTCTCCCTCCCCACTGCCACCCTCGTCCTACCCCATTCCAAATGCCAGTGAGAACCTTCAGTTCCCACCCGCCTCTCCAGGCTCAGCGTCAGCTAGCTCCCTCCACAAGTACCTGCCTCTGACCTACTGGGACGATTAACACAGTCCAGGCCACCGTGACATTTCTGAGCCCCAGCTGATCTCTATTAGACTGCTGATCTCTCAGTGCAGATGACTCCTTCCAGCAGCTGCCCAGCTACAAGTGAGGTGTGAGGTCAGACGCACCTCCGGGGAGGTGATGTGCCTCCAGTGAGGTTTCACCCTTTCAGACAAAGTCTGAAAAGGGACTTGAGAGGGAAGGCCCTGTGAACCCAGTGATGACTGACTGGGTCTCTGGTCTACCACAGCCATCCTTCTCAGCCGGTCCTTCCTTACCTTCCTGCCACTGTGAGTTGAACTAAGGGGACTCTAATTCGACAGTCCACTTCGGGACAGCTGTCTTGTTTGTACAGTTAAATCCTAAGTAGAAACAGAATTCCCAAAAGAGAGCTTCAAGTGTGTGGGCTGAAGCTCTGTACTAACTTGACCCATTACTCAGACAGGCGGATTCGTGTGATGCCCAGAGGAGGCGGATGCATACCGCAGACCTTTCCCTTCTCCCATCTTCCTTTTCCGATTTGCTGATTAAAACACTAAGCCTTTAATTTAAATAATAAAAACGCTTTACATTCTCACACTACATCTTTCTAGTTACTTTTATGTGTCTTATTCCTTGAGCCTCACAATAAACCTTTGAGCTAAGTCGACATATTAAATCAACAGATGAGGAAGCTCAAACGGAAAACCAAGTGCATCTTTCAAGGGTGTCAACCATTAAAGTGTAGAACCATGGCTGCAGGAATGAAGGACTCCCAAGTACTTCTCGGCTTAACCCCAGTTGTTTGTTTGAGACAACTTCTCCAGGCCAGGCTAGTCTCAAACTAGCTGTAGTCAGAGAATCACCTTTAATTTCTGATCTTCCTACCTCCATTTCCCAAGTGCTGAGATTATAGGCAAGCTTCCACACCTGGCTTATGCAGTGCTTGGGATCGAACCCACCGTTTTCGTGTATGCTAGGCAAGTACTCTACCAACCGAGCTATATTCGCAGGCTGTTTTCTGAGATGAGGTCTTGCTGTGGAGCCCAGTTTAGCCTCCACCTCACATCAGTCCTCAGCCTCCACCTCACACTGCCGTTCTAGGATTACAGGAATGGCCTACCATGCCAGCTCTGTTTGAAACCTCCTCTTTAACCCACTCATTCATTCAACAAATAATCACTTTGCGTGGAACCCAGCAAAGACAGAATGGAGAGACCTGGTAGCAACCCTCATAGAATATTCTGGAAAGATAGTAAAAAAAAAAAAAAAAAGTCACACCGTCAATATTTAATCTCAGAGCATATCTACTTCCCTGTGGTATTCCACATTCACCTAGACCTAGACTGATGAAACATGCCCTTCAATTCCAGATTTTCCAACACACATTCACCCTCTTCTTTATCTGCCTCAAGCTCCATCAATCAACTCCTTGGGTGGAACTCAAGGGACTACTCACCTGATGTCCAAATTGGTTGCAAGGGAAGCCGAGAACCACCAGGCGCCTGGGGAAGCGACATTGCAATTCATTGAGCTGGTTGAAGTCCCGGGTGGTTGTTCCTCAGAGTGATGCGACATTCTCAATCAGCACTGCCCTGCCTCGGAACGTGTTAAAGTCTATCTTCTCCCCATCCAGGCTGATGGCGCTGAGATCATAGAAAGACTTGGCGATGTAAGAAGCCATGGTCGAGTGCAGTGAGCCCTGCCCAGTCTCGTGAGCCCACTTAAGTTCGTTGACTGGGTGGGGAGGAAGGAGAAGCGAGGAAGGGTAGAGAAGATTTCACCAGGTGCCTTTGAGCATTTCTGGGACGGTTTAGTAAAAACAGGCACCCACCTGCGTTCTGTTTGAACAAGGCGGTGGCTCTGCCTATTTACAGTCTCTGAACAAAGCCACCTTCTGTCCCACCCTACTGGCAACCTGGAAAGGGCCAATTTGATATCTATGAGCAGATGTGAATAATTCACTCCTTGCTGGAAACCAGAGCCTTAAAGGTCAAATGGGGAGGAAAAAAGGGAGGGAGCATTCAAGATTGACTCCTACTTGCCCCAGCAAGTTTTGTTTTTTTTTTTTAACCTGGCACAGACATTTTTAAAAACACATTTACGAGCAGCAGTCTCTGAATTGGGAGAGGTCTAATGTTCCCAGGTCTGAATTGGGGCTGATGTCCACCCGACACATGATGATTGAAAGATGTATAGTACTTTTAATATTTCTGTGCTTTCTTAAAGCAGAATCAAAGGGACCCTTAGGAGGAGAGTGTCATTTTTCTAGAAGCAATGACTTCCAATGCCTCGGTTTGCATCAGGCAGAAGGGATGAAGTTGTGTTTGTCTCAGAAAGCCTTTCAGTGAGTGATGTTTCTCGTCATGGAGAACACTAAGGTCTTTGTCCCTGCACTGTGCCATGTCCTACATTAGAACCTCCACCTCCATTCCACACTCCTCCACCAGTCATGAGGATGGAGTTGTTGCTGGCATAGTGATCAGGAGACGTCTTGGAACAGACTGTACATTCTGGGTAGACGAATTATACCTATCTCCCTCTCAGGCAATGGTTCAGTCGCTGAGATTTTCAAGAGCAGGCTTCTGTGAATGCGTGACACACATTCCTCACAGGAGGGGAATGTACAGGAAGGCAAAGCAGCTGTGCTTCCAAGTAGGTTACCAAGACTTCTTCAAAGCCAGCCATTGGTGTGTGGTGGGATGTCTTTGCCATGCTGAGGGCTGTTACTGGGGCTCAGTCTAGTAGCAGAAAAGACCATTATCCAAGCCACTCCATTATTCAAGCATTGGCCAACTAAATTAGGAACTTTTAAGAAACACCGATTTCTCCACCAGTAAAACTAACAATCATGCTGGGCGGTGGTGGTGCACACCTTTGATCCCAGCACTCGGGGAGGCAGAGGCAGGTGGATCTCTGTGATTCAAGGCCAGCCTGGTCTACACAGTGAGTTCCAGGAAAGGCTCCAAAGCTACACAGAGAAACCCTGTCTCAAAAAACAACAACAACAAACGATCAAGCTTATCCTGGCTATTTTAGTAAGGCAAACGTTTCCCTAAGGGTATTTTCACAGGTACATTTGCCATTGGAAGAGCTCCTAGAACAGTCAACAAGGCTGGGGCAACCCATCTTCAGAATTTGATTTGTTGAGAGGCAAAGAAACTCTGTGCCAGGGAGTGCTCAGCAGTTCTGCCTCATAGCTTGTCCCACATATGTTCAAGTATGTGGGAATCCTAGCTCAGCTGACCACTCCCTAAAAACAGGTTTCCATGATCCAAGTGGGGATGGAGTCTTGTGATGCCACGGACAGTGGAAGAAGTTAGGTCTCCTGCGGGACTGCCCAGAGTCCTTGGATATCATAGCCAGTAGATGTCCTTACCGAGCTACGGAGTCAGAGGGACCTTGTAAGGATGACTAAGAACTTGACATTCATTTGCCAGGCTTCTCTGCCATCTGGAGCTTCCCCTGGCAGCCTGGGCTTCCAAAGAGAGAGATGCCTTTTGTTTGCTGTGCTTTGAAAGCCCTCTTCAGGCATGCTGTGAGTCTTGAATGAGGAATGGGTTCGCACTTGGTTTTCTCCAAGAAAATCTAAGACCCTCACAGTCTCCTGGATGCTCACTTCTCACAGTTGAGTAAAACTGATGAGATATTCCTAAGTACTGTCTCCAGGTGTACACACTGCCCCCACTTTCCAGAAGCTTTTAACTTTGGGCACACACTAACTAAGAGTCTTCCCTATGACTTTCTGCAACAGAACAATTGTTCTAAGCCTTAGGAGGCAGAAAAGCCTAGGTGGGTGGTTCTCGGTTCTGACTGCAAAAGAATTGCTTATAGAGGTTTTTCTAGATAGATAATCCAAAGCTTTTCCATTTAGACTCTAGATTCTAGAGAGTCCAGGGCACTGATTTTTAGTCATAACCATTATTCTCTTGGACTTTTCCTTCTCTTTAAAGCTCACCGCCGAGAACCTGTTTCCTTATCTGTTGAGTTCATAAAGATAAGCACTCCCTCCCACACAGTGACTGCTCAGGAGGGCGGCAAGTGCTCTCCGAAGTGCAGGGCAGATTCAGGACTACCACTGCCCCGCTGTTTTTTTCCTCCCTCTTCTGCCCACACTCCGAGCGTCTATCTCCAGCATCCCCATGTCCCTCACACCTCATCGTCCCAGGTTCCAATCTGCTTCTGCTCCATGGGGTATCCAGTGACAAATCTGAAACGTTACCCAGCCCTTCCAATGCCTTCAGGAAGGACCTTCCTGATTCATCCACAACAGATGGCCACCGTTCTGGCTTTTAAGACACCCCTGATGTTCAGCCTCCTTCTAGTCCTTGAACCCTGCTCCCTTAAGCTCACAATAGAACAGTGGAGGGGGAGGCGTTGCTTTGGGGTCTCTGCAGGTGTCACTAGGGAAGATAGACCAACCTCACCCCTTTGTCACTTTGCTGTAACTTTAAAATTCGGGGGCCTCTTCTGTCTTTCACTCTGCCTCCCATGTCACCACCAAGGCCCCAATAACACCTTCTCCCCGAGGTTCAGACAGGCACACACACACCCGTGGTTTGAAATATTCTTTATTTTGTAAACATTTGTGTTTAAAATAGATGAATCCTGCTTACAATTCATATAATGGACCCAAGACACCGTACACAAAGTTCACCCATCACAGGGAGCTAGTGGGGCTCAGGTGGTGGACCAGGGTGAGTTGATCTCCAGCAATGGGCAGACAGGCCAGGAAAGCCTGCTGAACAGTCAAGGCCAGTGACACAGCCCAAGCTGCCTCCCAGACTAGCGGTTAGAGCGAGGCCAACTCCGGAATGGAGTGAGCCCAGGTGCACTCTAAAATCCCAGCCGTCCTTCTGCTGCTCTACTTCAGAGCTGTGACCATGGCCCAGAGTCCAGCGCCCCAACCCCGTGCTGTCCCTTCCAGAATCCTTAGGGTAGTGAAAATTCTTGAGGGCTTGGGACAGCAAGACCACCAGTGCCCTGTGGAAATTCTCTCAGATTCTGGCTGACGGCAGGTGTGTGCTCACCTACTGTGTGATGGATGCTGCCTGGATCTTGCTACCCAGGAGTCAGTCCCCAAGGAAGCCACCTCAGTCAGTCACGGTCCAGCCTGAGAGCCAGCGTGCTACCTTTCCAGTGAACAATGCCTTATCCCTGCTCCTGCCTTTCCGCCCCCAGAAAGCCTGAGCTGCTCTCTCCGGCCGCCTGTCTCCTGGTTTGCTCGGGGAGGAAGAAATTTCCATCCCCATCTCCCTTTCTGGAGGACTAAAAGGGTGAGGCTCTTTATCTGCACATCTGTGCCCTGGATTTGAAAGGTCCTTTGTTGGTGAATGCTCAGTCAGGGCCCAGTTGTCCCTTGGCTTTGGCTCCAGCCCCAGCCACGCAGTGCATCTTGGGACTATTCTCTTACCTGAGCTCCTCCCGCCTTGGGACGACCCCTAGCATGGGCTTTTTTTTTTCCTTCTTGTCGGGGCCTCCTTCAAGCTACCCTTGGACCATGGGGTGAAAGAAACTTCCTGAGCATAGACCTCTGGAGGAGGGCGTCCTTTCCCCTCCCTTGGTAGCTCCTCGGCAGTTGGCAATGCTACACGTCTACCTAGGAGTAAGGGGGCCAGAGGAGGGAGCCTCGGAAGGCAGAACGGCACCAAGTACTCCTGCCCACGGCTGCCCTCTCTCCCCATGCTTTAAGGCCTGTCGCCCCTAGACTCTGTGGCCCAGGAAAACCTTAACTTCTGAGGGCCGGGTTCAGTGAAAGAAGAGTGACCTGGTTACGTCACTTCTCACCTCTGCCAGGAAGTCTGGGTCCATGTTCTTACACAAGAGGCCCGGCTGCTGCCACCACAATCAATGTTGTGAAGCGCCCTCCGCCTCTGTTCTAACCCTACCATCTAGGAGCGAGCCCTTCACAACCACTGTGGCCCTTTTCTAGATAGAGTTCACAGTGTCTGACCCCAGGACTTCCCCTGCTCTTCAGCATCCTCAAGCCTTGATCCCCATCCTTAAATCCAGGAATCCAGGTGAAGAAGTCGTGTACTCACTGCACGGGAGGTAGAGAATCGAGGTGACTTGTCCCCGCCACCCCTCATCCTTGTTTTCTTCCCTGCTGGGCCCATCTCTGGACTTGGTTCCTCACAGAGACCTGTGGGTAGCCGGGCAAGGCCAAAGCTCCAGCAAAAGGCAAAGGCCGAGGAGGCCAGCCCAGGCCTGAGGACCACCAAGTAGTGTTTCCCTCCCACCTCAAGTGTTCTACTTTCCCAGGTCACTGGGGAGGCAGCCCATGGCACAAGGGGGGGCTGTGGGGAGGGGGGAGGGAGAAGCACCCATAGCCTTGGGCCCACCCCAGAGCAGGGTGGGTCATCCTCCCTGGGGCAGAGCCTGGATCCATTCCCTTAGGCCGAGTCAGGAGGGAAGGAAGGAGGGAGGGAGGGAGGGAAGGAGGGAAGGAGAGAAGGGCAGTAGCAGCCACCCAGCAGGACACACAGGCGAAGGAGGAGAGGATGTAAAATACACTGGAGGGAAGTGGGTGGAGAGGGAGTAGAAAGAAGAGGGAAGCAGAACACACGAGATGCACTAAGAAATGAGTCTTTAAGTGGCCTTGACTCCAGCCTTGACCATTGTCCCAGGAGCTTCCGGTGGTGAGATGGTCGCAGCACATTCTGGGATCACAGCCGGCCTGTGGCTGGGGAACAGGCTGAAGGTTACCGTAACTCCAGGATAGAGGGGCTGGGGGCACAGGCTGCTCAGAGGCCACAGCAGAGCTGCTCACGGGGGCCAGGCAGGGGAGTAGCAGCTACTGATTTTCAACAGGGTCATCAAATGAAAGGACAGCAGTGGGCAAAGCCCAGGCTCCCCTGCTTCCACGGGCCTCCTGAGGGAGGGAGTTGCGGGGGGATTCCACACCCGGCCCTCAGCACCAGCAGGTCTTTGAAGAGTTCGCCGGGCCCTCAGGTTTGCCTTCCTCTTCCTCCAGCTCCGCCAGCGCTAACTCATTGCTGGCCCGCGTTCGCAGACCATCCAGCTCTTTCCTGTGGGCCTGCAGCACCAGCTCCGTCAGCCGAGTGAAGGACTGGGAAGGCGAGGGGCACAAGTTAGTCCACCGTCCTCTTCTCTGCTTCGGGTTACCCTGCAACTGCCCACGGCGGAAGGGGTCTCCCGACTTATCTTGGCTCCTATCTGCCCTCCCTTCCCATCCTCCCCCTCTTCTGGGATCAGCCCCCGTCAGGGCAGCTGTCCCCAGCGTTCTCACCTCTTTAATGTTGAGGTTGGTGCACGCACTTGTTTCGTAGAAGTCCATGCCATACTCCTTAGCCAGCTGCAAGACAAGGGCATTTCTGAAAGAGAGTCAGTGAGGGAAGGGAGGCCCGTACCACGTGGTACGCGCTTCTGCCGTGGCACTCTCGATGCACTGACATGATGCATTGACATGATGCATTGACATGATGATGCCTTGGGTGGGAAACTGGGGGCCCTTTCTATTCCACCAATACACCCATCTCATCCAAGTCTACACACACACACACACACACACACACACACACACACACACACACACACACAAACACACACCACTACATCAGGACACAAAGACAACAGCATATGGCATAAACATGAAAAACACGGGCTTTGAGTGCAACAAAGGCAGTCTAGGTGCCAAGATGCCACCCAGGAGCTGTAAAACCCGGAACAAGTTTCTGTTACCATTCTCTCCAAGGCCCAGCGTCATCCTCTATTAAAGCGGAATGGTAGTGTCTACATCAAGGGCTATAGAATGATTAAACGGGCCACACAGCTAAGAGCACTTACCACAGTGCCCCGGGGTGCAGTGCTCAGTAAAAACCGGTTAGTCCTGTAGGGTCTGTCTCCACTTCCACATTTTAATGACATTGTATTATTTGTTATGCTCCCCCCCAAAATCAATGTTATTTTAAGGACTAATGGAATGCTATTGACTGGAGAGGAAGAGAAGAACTCATGAGGCGCTCAGAGTGGGTGGATGACTCTTGCCTCAGCATATCAGTCTTTCTGTTGTGTGGGAGTATGGTCTCCCTGCACACTTGGATATGCTTTGGCCCTCTCTGCCCTATGGCTTGTCTCCTTGGGGACTCTCCATTGTCACCCTTTCCAGGCATGTGGAGTCAGGAAGTCAGGGTGTGGAGGGTGTGGAGTGGGAGACCCCTCCCTTACTGCGAAACATCAGCCGTGCACAGAGTCTGTTAGAGATGTCAGCAACTCGCTTCCTCGTCGCTATCACGGAGGTGATCCGAATCCCGTTTAAGGAGTCTTGGACCTGCTAGAGGTGCCACCTAAGAGGTCTCCCCCCACCCCATGTGGACCCCTGGTCATTGTCCTGAGAACTAGAAAACAAACTCTCACACATGTCAGCTCCCCAGTGCTGGGTGTGTGAGGGGACTGGATGATGGTGAGTGCGCTCCTGGGTCCCTGCTCTCGGGGACCACAGAAGCCCCGAAGAGTGAGCCTTCACGTACCTGCTGCCCCTGCTCTCTCCCCACCTGCCGTTTCTGCTCTTCGTCAGCCTTATTCCCTATGAGGATCTTCTGGACTCCTTCTGGTGCATACTAAGGACAAACGGAGGCAGACCTAAGTGAGTGCTCCTCTTCGTTCCCTGCTCCCCCACACAGCCTCCTCTGGCCTCCGAACCACCAAGTTCAAGAATCCTAGGGACAGCAGGCTGACTGGGTACAGACAGCAGGGTCCCAGAGTACAGGACCCCCTACTCCCCCTATCTGTGGTTTTGTTTTCCACAATTTCAATCGCCATCAGTTAGCCTTGATCTAAAAATATTAAATGCAAAATGCCAGAAATAAACAATCTGTAACTTTTGTTATAGAACATCGCGATTTTGCCATTACTGCTGTTGATTGGTTTTTACTATGTCTAACTTATATATTTTGTCCCAGGGATTCAAGACCAGGGAAAGCCAACATTTAAAGGGTTTGGAACTATCTGTTCTTCTCAGCTTCCCTTGTGAGTCTGGGAACGGAGTGTCATGGGGACTCTTAACACCACAGCCACCCCAAGAATGTCACAGGGACAGTTTAGGGTAGAAGATGCTAAGACAGATGCCTCATTGGGTTGAACAAATGGTGTCTGAACTGCAGAGGACACTGGACTTTGTCTAGCCTTTACTTGACAGATGACGGACTGGGGACCCAAGGAGCTGCAAATGGTTTGCCAAGGCTCCACCATGTGCAGGAGCAGGTCCAGTAGCCCAGACTTGTAATTCCATCTGGACCTGAGGTAATTCCATCTGGACCTGAGGTTTTGAGAACGAAGCTGCCCATAAGGCAGTCTTGGGACTAATGCTTGTCCAAGAAAGACATGGCTATGGGAGCCTCGCAGGGTACAGGGCATACATAAGCATATGGAAGGTTCGACTTTTTCCACACCATTTACCCAAAGGT